GTCGTTAGAATTAATGAGCGGGATCGGTAAACAGATAATTCAAAAAAAGTGTCGTCTGTTGACATGGCGTCGGAGGAGTGTAAGCGGTTTGCTCGAAATAGTGAGAACGATATTCAAAGTATTTTAAAGCTGACATGAACTCTTAAAAAGGCATTAGTTTTCATCTTTGTACGACTAACTACATTCCTGTACGCCCTTGTCAGCCATATTTCTTCGATTCCGCCATATTTTATCGAAGATTTTTGGCCACCCGTACCTGCTATATATAGCCTTGTAGAATTGTTTCACTTGAGTGATTTTCTAGCCTGGCTGTCGACATGTACACATCTCCGATAGCATAGTTTTTAGAAGTCCATAAACTGACCAAATACATGTTCGAAAAGTAAGAATTCAACAACAACAAATAGAACTAAACCGAGAATCAAATTATTTTTGAATGCATTTGCTGCAATATAGAAAATACACTAACACGGAATACATTCATGTACAGCAAAAAACCATGCAGGTCGAGAAAACGCGTCAAACGCAGTGATAAAACATTTACCTGAATATACCGCTATCGTTACAGAGATGTGCACATGTCGAAAGAATTTTATTGAAAAATGCATCTCAGAAGTCGTGTAATCCATTGCTAACTCAACAGTAAAAGATGCTTGGACACATGTGGCCCATGCCGATCATTTTATTTGGTCAGGGAAAATATCAAAGGTTGAAAGCTCAGTGGGGTTGATTGAAAAAAAAATGCAAGTAATTTTTTCAAAACTAAACATTACTCTTGTCTGTAAATGTTGCAAATAGAATTTATGATTACATGGTTTAACTTCATTAAATCTATAATAAAGCATGCATTATTACGAATCATTCACCTTTTGAAGATATTTTCCTGTGATAGGAGGGGGGGGGGGTAATAAAACATGCATATTAACACTCTCATAAAACTAATTTAAGAAAAACGTCTTAAACAGATTGATTTCTTTATGATTAATTATTATCAAATAAATACTGTGTATTGCCTTTATTAGACCTAATATAATTTGATTTAAAGTTATTTATAATTTTATGCACAATGAATGAAAACATACCCCACGCTCCCCCAAAAGTCGAAGAGCTGAAATTCCCAGAAAAAAAATATAAAGGAATCGTAATTTCCTTGTTATATGCACATCTATGCACATTGTGTCCTAAATATCTGCAAAGTTTGACGAAATTGTGTGCAGCGGTTTATGAGGAATTGCGCTGACAAACTGCTCATCTTTATAATCAAGACATGGCTAAAATCTAAATGTAAAAGTGTGGAAATTCCCCAAAAAATAAATTCGAAATTTCCTGGTGGTGTGCAAATCTAGACTCACATTGACTCCTATAAATGTCTCGAAAGTTCGACAAAACTCTGTGCAGTGGTTTATAAGAAGTTGCGCTGACCAAAAAAAAAAGAGGACTGACTGATGGGTTCAAAACATTATACCTCACGCAACTTGTTGCGAGGGGTATAATAAACGAGTTTGATTCTGTGGTACAATGATAATGAAAATAGAATTTAATGTGAATTAAATTTCTAGACATAAATAATTAATGATTACTAGAAAAAGCAGATAGAAAGAGAGAGCAAACCCCCGTGAGAATTCCATATTTTACCTACAATTAGCTTTTTAAACATTCTCTTGTCTGTTGTCCAGGTCCAGGTTCGACTCGTACGTTTGAGCATAGGTGTCGCAACCGGGGATGGCTTTTTTACAAATATATACTTAGTATAGACATTGAGCATTGCTGCGTAGGTTTAACCTCCCCCCCTCCCCCCCACTTTCCACAGACAAGTCGCAGTATAGATTAAAAAAGAGGAAAGTGTTGGTGTTTGGAGAAAAATTTTGTTGCTGAAGTTCGAACCTACCCCCCCCCCCTTTCCCCCACACGAAATAGGATATTCGTATTTTGGAAAAGGACATTTCCCCCTTTTATTTAAGCTTGTCAGATTTTTTGAATGTATAAAAAAAAATTCTTTGCATTTACCCCCCCCCCCACTTTCAATTTGCTTCCGAGGCCAATACGTTTGAGAACGAATTTGAGAAAGTTCCCAATGTACCCATTCCTGTGATGTATATTTCACGTTTATTATATCCCCCGCTTGAAAAGTGGGAGAGTATGTAGTAATAGTTATGTCCGTCCGTCGGTCTGTTACGCTTTGGGGTACCCATCTCTTATCCGCAAATCCTCTTATACCACTAAGTGAAATTTAATAAAACTTTCACATAATCTTAGATTTATTACATATTACCATTGTGCACCTCCTATTTTACTTTTTGATCCGACATTATTTTGGGTTTAGCGACAACAGCAAAATATGGACTTTGCCATTATAACCATATGGGAGGCGGGGGTATCATTTACTGAGCTCATTGCTCACAATACCTCTAGTTTCTCTTTCAATTTGGCCGTTTGGATTAACTTCTTGTCCAAATTAAAATTATTATTCAATTTATGAAGTTTCGACATCCCGCCTGAAAAAATATCCTTGATCTGTCCTAAGGCTTAATAATTGGTACAGCACAAAGTGAGTAGGATCTTATACCTATTATTGCCCTAAGGGATGGTTACAGAGAGAGAGAGAGAGAGAGAGAGAGAGAAAGAGAGAGAGAGTTCAGTATACAAAAGAGTAAATAAAAATTATCCATATTCAACCAGTGTCCTAGCTTTTAAAATTATCTCCCAAATACTCCTACAGAAATTATTTTATATAAAAAAAAATAGCTAGACTATCAGGCAGGGATACTGAAATCTCGAAAGACTCTCTATAACAACATAATTATAAAACATTTATACATTCCTCAAAATGCACATACTTTGTGGTCGGAGTGACACATTTTAAAAAAAAAAATTCAAAATTGAATTCGGAAGAGATGTCTGTCTTCCAAGAATATTTAGATAACGGTCATGTAAATTATTTTTGCACGCTCCCCCCCCCCCCCCCCGCCTAAAAAATCAAATGCCTAAATGTCAATCTGACCAGGGGATGGTATTTCTTCGTGTGTTTGTGTGTTAAAGAACGTATAGATCTATGTACACATAAAAATTGTATTCTGGTTAATTGCTTTTAAGATTTGAAGTAAATAATTACCGTACATCAAATTACTTGGTTTAGATTTGAGATTAGTACTAAAATAATCAGTTATAATTGACAAATGAATTTTGCGACGCAAACCAACTGCAGACTATATACATGACTTTGTATAGAATGTATATTAGAACTACATGTAGATAGACAATTCACAATTATAGCACAATTATAACCCCCCCCCCCTTTCAGCCGCGCAAATACCAAATAACTTCCTTTTCCACTTGTGATATTTTCCCTGACCAAAATCTGATCAGCACGGACTAAGTGTGTCGACGTGCTAGTCTGTACGGAGTAATGACAGTGTGTTTACTATTGAGCTTTTGTGGAGTTTATTTCTTTTTTGTGATACATATTTCAATAAATGGAATTCAGGGTGTATATCACTTGACTTGTGCACATCTTCGAACCGATGCAGTAACCTTATTACCAGGTATGGGTACGTTTACAGCGTTCGAGGCGTTTTCTCGATATGCACCAATTGCATAGGGGCTGCAAATCAAAGACGTTGGTTGTTTTGTTCCATTCAAATGATATAATTTCAAAATGTGTTTGCAGATTTTACTGCTTTTTATTTCAAGTTTATTCTGCATAAATTGGCGCACTGTAAAAATACGTACTCGTGCATCTAAATTTCTCACCAAACTTGCATTTTTTTTCTTTTGATTCAAATGAATAATTATTTAGAAATATGATTATTGTGTTGTTTATTGTGGTTTTGAAATGTCTTGATCTCCTCATGTGTTCTCATATGCTTTACCATCGGAGATGTGCACAAGTCGATACCCAAGTCAAAAAATCATTCAAGTGTAACGAGCGCATTGGGGTATATATCGTTACAATGAGACAAGGTATCTGAAAGAAATATGGCGGAATACGGCTATAGTTAGTATGAAACAAGTCGTACATAGATGAACATGTTGCGTTTTTAAGAATTCATGTCAGCTTTAAATGACAAGGATTCAAACAACACGAAACGAGCGACAAAAGCAGCGTTATCTATCCTAATTCAGTATTTGGTGGAAAACGACAAGTCTGCAAACCTCGACTCGTTTTCACGGAAGGAATTGGCCGATATTTTGTTGTCATTTTATGCAGATGCAAGAAAGAAAAATGGTGAAAAATATAAATTGTCTGGTCTGCGTGCTTTACGGTTTGGTCTAGCGAGGTATTTTAACAGCGAGTTTGGAATATACATTATAAAAGAGCCAGAATTTAAGAAAGCAAACGATGTTTTTCTAGCGGTTTCTGTCAGTTTAAAACGTGACGGACTGGGGAAAACAGAACACACACCGGCTATAGAGGGAGATGACTTATTATTGTTTTACAAACAGCGTGACAGTTTGCTTTATGGGGCGTGCTAAAATTTTGTATGCTGATTTTCATTTTATTCATTGATTGGATGCTTTTTTTTCAATGGAATCAATACTAATTTGCATATGAAACTCAGAATACAACAATGTCCTGAGAATACTGGCCAATCACATTGAATGATTGTTCACCATTATGATTTGACCGGATGGTTTTATATACATATATGAAAATTCAAAGAACAGAATTAGTAAGGCTACTCTGCTACTGTTGTACTATGTAGCTATCAATATCATCATTATAGGCTGTAAAACTTGCTTTTTCCGTCCACGTGTAACTGTTGTTTACTGCATGCTAGTAAACATGTCATTCAATACGATTGGTCAGTATTGTCAGTGGCGTTGTTGGGTTCTATGTTTCATATGCAAAGTATTATTGATTCCATTGAAATCAAACATCCAATCGATGAGTAAAATGATAACCAGCATACAAAATTTTAGCACGCCCTTTAAAGCAAACTGTCACGCTGTTTGTAAAACAATAATAAAAACCATTTATACCAGCTTCGCCCTTGACCCGGATACACCTGTTGGTCTTTTACAAAAGGTCTGGTTCGATATTATGTATCATCTGTGTAGAAGCCTAGAAGGGGTAGAGAAAACCTTCGTTTGATGACGAAAGAGACTTTTAAAGTATCAGTAGATAGTACGGGAAGAGAGTATGTTTTCCAAGATATTGATGAGTTGGATAAAAATCATCGCTTGGATTCGGATCTAACTTCTTATGTTACAGATGGCAGGATGTATGAAATTAAAGGTAAATACTACATCTTTAAGCTTTATGTATCATGTGTATTAAAACGTGAAAAATGCAATTTTTTTTAGATTGATTAAAAATTAAAACAAATTTTGAATGGTATCTTTACAGGGCACCCTCGTTGTCCAGTGAGCTGCTATAAAAAGTATCTTTCAAAACTGAACCCAGACAACAACAGTTTGTGGCAAAGACCAGTCGATTCATTTCAAAGCAGCGATGGTATCTGGTACGCCAAACAACCTATTGGAAAGAATACGCTGTCAAAGATGTTACCAAATATTTGTAAACAGGCAGGTATAAGAAACGTCTACAAGAACCATTCGTTAAGGGCAACAAACATTACCGTTTTGGATGTGAACAATTTCTCAAGTCGTGACATAATGTCTGTCTCTGGCCATAAATCAGAATCTTCTCTAAAAAGCTACACAGGAAAAGTTGGCACAAAGCGCAAACATGAGATGAGTCAAGCTCTCTCGGCGGCATTAGTCGAGACGTCAGAAACCAAAATTGTTGAATGCACCACAAATTGTGATGGAATATTAGACCTCTCACCAGATCAAGTGGAAGCTCTATTCGACAACTCATTTCAAAATGAAAAAGAAAAGGAAAATGTGTCTTTGTCTGCAAATGTTCCAAGCTGTTCTCAAAACCCCTTTTCATTGGAAAGATTTACACCATATATCACAGGATGTGTTGTGAATTTCAACATTAATAATAGCAAATGATTGTTGTCCAGTGATATAATTAAGCAGATGTTATAGTGTTTGAATTGTTTGTTACAGTTTATTACATTCAATAAATTGTTAAAAATAATATTTTTTTATTTCTTCTAAGATTCTTCAGGATAATAAAACTATTATGGACTGTTTAGAAGGGAGACATCACCAATTATCAGGTCTGAGTAGGGTTGTCACCCTCGGGCGCAAGCGCCCTCGGGTGACAACCCTACTCAGACCTGATAATTGGTGATGTCTCCCTTCTAAACAGTCCATAATTGTATAGTATTTGAGCTCAAAAGTCAATTAAACATTACTAAACAGGAGCGGAGCAAACACGGACCTCCAAAACATCAGAGGTGGGATCGCATGCCATTGAGGAATGAGCATTCCCTGCCGCCCGGTCACACCCGCCTTTTACTCTTTTTCATGATCGGGGAGAATAAGGGAAAATCCATTGACAATTCAATGTGTAAATCATGGCTTTAAAATGAAATTAATACAATTATCTTTTAATCGTTATTTTTTTTTTGTTTTTATTTTTATTTATTTATTTTTTTAAAATATGAACGACAATAAATCTCTGCGAGAAAAGGAATATTTTTTTTTAAAACTTTCATCTAGAAAGGATCAATTTTAATGTTAAGGTAGGATTCTTCTCACATTTCTTGTATTTAAAAATTAATGAAATTTTCAAAGAATCAAGAAGACAATATCACTAAGAGAAGGTATCAGATAGATTAAATTTGACCGTTTAATATTAGAGGCAAGGTCAGGTCAAGGTCATTACCTTTTTCCTGGACATAAAGAATAAAAAAGTACTGTTTCCAATCATGCGATCCCTACTTGTAATTTAAAAGATTGAATGTTTTTCTTTTCACATAAAAAGATACTATCATATAGGGCCTATAAGATGACATTACCAAATTGACATGGATAATTTAAAGAAAATGGATATTTGCTAATCCGAATTTCCTCTACTTTTCTTAAATTTTTAGGATTCATTAGTCATTTTTATATGCTTCCTATATTTAACTTTTTCCAATTTTCACATATAGTAAAGTTGTCACATACAGGTACAAAATGATACAAAAACTAAAAGTTTTGATCGTTTACTAAGAGAGAAATAACACTTTTTACTGATTCTTGGCTCAAAACTGTACTTAGATTTGAAGCATTTAAAAGCCAACATAGTTCTAGTATGTGTGAAAATTCTTATTTTATTTCTATAAAAGGAGGATATTTTAGAAGTAACTCCTTTTATATAGAGTGCCTTCATATATAGGATCTTTCAAGTAATGATGAAGAAAAATCGATTTTTCTGATTTAAATGGAGTAAATTATTATACTATAATACCCTGAGACGAGGGTGAAGTATAGAGTCAGAGAGGTGTTTTCTTTGAAAGAAAATGAAGAATTTTTACTGCTGATGAAGAGGAAAAAAATTGCGTCGGCCGGGAATTGAACCCGGATCGACTGCTTGGAAGGCAACCATGCTGACCATTACACCACCGACGCTATGATAATTTTTGGTAATGTTCTGCTTAAAACAGATACACGTAGTATTACCTGGAAGTCTTCCTTTGACTTTTATAGGTTTAAAAAAATGTCATTAAATTAATCAAGGGTAAAAAATTGTCATTGGGCCTCTTTTACCTGCATGCAAAACATTATTACTTGATTTCTGAACTTTCTTTTTTTTCAAGTTTCAAATTAAAAATATCAGGCTTTTAATTTCTTTATATTGGATTACACACCTAAAACATCTTATAATTGTGTATATGTATAGCTTTTGGCTAAACATTTTGTTTGTAATTATTCTATTTTACATCTGTATTTCTTGGAATCCGAATATGCCCCAGGATACATGAAAATAATATATATCTTGTTTTCATGCAAAGCAATATCTTACTGAATGTCTTTCTGATCTGTACATTATTTTTGGCTTTTACAATTTTATGTGAAATTAATTTGTACATGTATTGTTTCATTTGATTGTTTTTTTATGTTATTTATGCAGGAGAAAAAATAAAAGTACTCAGAATTATATAAAGTATGTTAAGGGGCATAAAGATTTGAAATTATATCATTATGTCGAATTAATGGTCTATTTAGTTTTCTTGAAAGTTAAACTTACCAAATATTACTGAAGTGGTCAATTTTTAGTCAAAGTTTTTTTTAACTTACAATTAACTACTACATATAGATACTATTAACTTTTCGTAGGAGAAAGATCTATATTTCATACATTAGAAACGACCATCATTTACAAACTGATTTTAGCATTTTATGTTTGCTTGTACACAGGTACATGTTTATAAACAAGCATGAGTTCTGTCTGGATGAAAAAAAACTCTTTGTTTAAATCTTGATGTGTACACCTTCCTCGAAGAATAACTTGGCTTAGTCCAATCAAATAAATGACCGCTCACAAATGTAAAACCAAATGTCAATCAGCACTACAAAACTGCCACTTATGTATCGAAAAGGACAAACATATAGTATTATTGCTGGATTATATTAGTTTTGCCACCGTCAAAAGGCGAATAAAATGCACATTCAATTGTCTGAATTATTTTAAATGTAAATGTTGTGTCTTAACGCTGAGTCTAGAATTTTGTGACAGAGTCAAAAAATGAATTAAAAATCGGCTATAAAATATCGTTGAATTCTTTGTCTTTAAATGGTGTATCTCATACCAAAATAAAGCGCCTAAAAGAATTACACAGTCATATAGTAAATTTACATATATTCAATTTAAAATTTCTAATTCTAGAGAATCATCATGTAAAAAGGTAAAAAAAAACTTCAAGGCTTAGGATTTTCATATTATATGCATATGAGATTATATTTATATATTTACATTACACGCAAAAAATAATATTAATCATGAAGTATTCATGATGGAAAGCTCAAGAGGGAATAAGATTTAAGTTTCTCACACAGGCACATTTCACGAAACACTCTACTTGGAATAAATAGACCTCTCGGAGAAATCTCAGGATTCAGAGTAAAAAACTTTTTGAAATAAAAAAATTTGAATGTACAATTTGATATAATATTATAATATATTTGCTGGAATGCAAAGGCTCTAATATGTAGACAAAATTAACTTTAATCTAATTGCGGCAGTGTTTTTTTTATTGTAGCATTTAGGAGGAAAAATCAAACTTTGAGATTTCCAGATCTAGAGAAATCTTGACTAAATGCAAAAAAATATTCCAGCAGATAACTTTTTCATACATGTACCTCTTACTAACGTTTTCTGTCCAGTTGTGCTTAAATATCTTAGATATATACATATTACTTATGTGTATCACTCAATAAAGAAACGCTAACTGGCCAAGACCAATCAAATGAACTTACAGCAGAAGAAAAACCGCAAGACCTATAACTTATTGAGACAATAGAGCATTGTTCTTTTTATTCATCGCCATGAGTATGATCAGGACATCTATTGTTTGTTCCCCGTCCTTCCATCCGTCTTTTCGTCGCACATTGCATCTTGCCCAGTTTCAAGAATTTTACCTGATACTAGTATTTCAATCAAAATTCAGAATGATTTATGTTGGTGATAGCTATTGAACTGTGACACACTTATTTTTACCTAAATCTTAACTGTGATCTTTTCCCACTTATCCCTATTCTGACCTTAGGTAAGAAATAAAGTAAATACTACTATCCAAGATATTTTTTAATCAAAGTTCATAAACTAATACATATTCGTGAAAACTACAAACCGTGTCATACTTTTCTGATTTTGACCTTCCTTATGATCTTCCTCCCACTACGCCTCATTATGTTCCCCAAACGAAGTTGGGGAACATATTGTTTTTACTCTGTTTCTTATTATTATACATTTATCTTTGTTTTAGAGGAGCTGTTCTAGATATGGTTGTCAAACTTCATACAAAGATACAAATTGATGAGAGATTTTTGCGTCATTTGTTATTACCTTTTTTCTTTCATGTTGACTTCATTGTTAATTAATAAATTTGAATTTATTATTAAGTGCAGTTTTAAAGGAACTTTATTACACCAACTTTAATGGTGAGCACTATTAATTCAACTATGAAGTAGCTTTATCATCTTTCTTATCTTGATCTCTCATTTGACCTAAATGTCACTTCATTTTTCAAGATATTTTAATCAAATATACTTTATGCGATTTTCTAATACAAAAGGAAATTGGTTAGAGGAAGTATATTGATAACTTTCAATGATTCATATTGATGAAAATACCAACTGTGTCATTATTTTATTACCTTGGCCTTCTAAATGGTCTTGACATCGTTATTAATTCTTTCGCTTAGAGTATATTTTTTAAAGAAATTGTTCAAATTTTCTTTGAAACAAAATTGTAAATACATGCACATGGACCATGCGTTAAATTAGTGCAAGTTACCTGAAAGAAAGAAATTATTTCTGAAATGAAAAATAAATTTATGAGAAGAAAACAGTAATTGTGAAAAATTTACCAGGCATTCAATACTCCTTTCTTAATGAGATCGTGATGAATATTCATATCGGATCCAAAACGAGGCTAGCGTCGGTAGAAACTATGGCGGCTGAATTAAAAGTCAAAACATCGACTCGTGATTTATCTACCGTACCTGCAATTTCCTTCAGTTTTGTGGAGGAAGTTGTAGGAAAGTGTGTTAAAAGTGATGGAACAAAAGAGCTCACCAAGGGATATAAGTATTTTAGTGAGAAATACGTCACAGACATCAGAGGTAAACACTCTATCTGCTTATACATACTGTACTTGTACTTTCAGTTTCACACGACAATATAAACAAACCAAGGTTATTTCCCCATTCTAATCATTATCAAATTAATACATGATTATTTTTCGTGATATATAATATTAAACATGAGCGTGTTAACTTTTCAAATTATTGCACAACTTCATTGACAATGATATGAACCATGCATGTATGCTAGGGCATGTCCCTTACATTAATCATTATCCCTAGATATAAACAATATCTCATTATTTTTTAACAGTATTATTTGCATTATACAGTAATATATATCTCACATTGGTGACACAAAAAGTATATCAATACTATATATGCTGT